AGACAAGAGAATAAAAAGCCAAGCCACAGACTGGGAGAAAATATTTGCAAATCATGTAACTGATAAAGGACTTGTATCCAGAATATCAGAAGATTCATAAATTTCAAAAAGAAAACAAGCAACCAAATTAAAAAACAGGCAAAATATTTGAACAGACACTTCACCAAAGAAGATATATGAATGGCAAACAAGCACATGAAAAGATGCTCAACATCGTTAGCCATTAGGAAATACAAATTAAAGTCACAATGACATACCACTATACACTGATTAAAGTTAAAAACACTGACCATATCAAGTGTTGATGAGGGTGTGTAGAAGCTGGAACTCTCATACACTACTGGTGGGAATGTAAAATGGTACACCCACTTTGAAAGACCATTTGGCAGGTTCTTAAAAAATTAAACATACAACTTCCATATGAGCCAGCCATTCCCACTCCCAGGTATTTACCCAAGAGAAATGGAAACCCATGACCATACAAAGTCTTGTATACAAAGGTTCATGGCAGTTTTATTTGCAATTGCCAAACATTGGAAGTTTACCTGTTGGTTAATAGGAAAATGGAAAAACAAACTGTGGTACGATCCATACAATGGATTATTATTCAGCAATAAAAAGGAATGAACTATCGATATTATGCTGCAACATGGATGAATTTTAAGATGATGCTGAGTGTGAGGAACCAGATAAAAATACATACTTTATGATCTCATTTATATAAAATTCTAGGAAATGCAAACTAATCTACAGTGACAGAAAACAGATCAATGGTTGGCTGGGAAATGGGGGAGGGGAGGAGGGATGGAAGGGAGGTGGGGATGACAAAGCAACATGAAGAAACTTCAGGGTGATGGATATGTTCGTTATTGATTGTGGTAATGGTTTCATGGATGTATGCATATGTCAGTAGTACTTACCAAACTGTATACTTTAAACATGTGCAGTTTATTCACTATCAGTTATACCTCAATAAAGTGTTTACGAAAAAGACTGGGAAGGGAGAAAGTATAGAGAGGGAATAGAGACAACTCTTTCGAGGAGTTATACTGTAAAGGAAAAGGGAGAAATGGAGCCTGGAAACGGATGGAGGGTGTCACGATTTTGTTTTTAAGATGGGAGACATCACAGCATGTTTGTTCACTGATGGGAATATCCCAGTAGGGAGGGAAAATCGATAATACTGTAGAGAGAGAGAACAACTACAGAAGTGATATCCTTGAGAGGGCCAAAGGAGATGGGATCCAGTGCACACACAGGGGCTTCAACCTTAGGTAGGAGTGTGGACAGTTCCTCTCCAGAGGCAGGATGGAAGGCAGAGTGCGCAGTCACGGAGGCAGTGAGGTGAGTGAATGTGGTGTGGAACTCCGCAAAAGGTCTGTTTTGACTATTTCTATTTTCTCAGTAAAATCAAAATAAGGTCATCAGCCAAGAGAGAAGAAGGGGAAAAAGTTTTGGAGATTTAAGATGAGAGGAAAATGGGTGTAATAGTTGTTTTGGAGACTGGGAGAGAGAATAAAGCTAGGAAAGCAGCACTAAAAGCCCCCTACAGGAGAGGGGTCATGAACTTTCTATTAAGATCAGTCCATATGGTTGGACAGTTTTCTTCATTTGCATCCTGCTGCTAAGGTGCTTGGGAAGTAGGTCCTGTTCCTTCAGACTTCATACTCATCAGAGGTCTTGCTGCCTTCAAAACATTTCCTGCTCCCCCGCCCCCTTGCTCTATCTCGTTACCCTGCTTTATTTTTCTTCATAACCTTTATCCTTAGCTGACCATGTTTTATACGCTGGTTTTCTTGTTGTCCATCCTTGCTGTGTATCTAGTACTTAGAACAGTGCCTGGTAGGTACACAGTAGGTATTGAAGGGACAAAGTCTGAGGGCCTCTCCTCTTCTCCTCAAAAAGATTCTGTTTATGCCCTAAATCTCTGTGCCAATTTCTTCTGTTCGCCTTTTACACTTCTCCACCTTGCTACGTCCTGGGAGACTGTACAGATTACATCTATGGTTGCTTTCTGGCTTTGGTTGGGGCCAATGGCAATCATTGGCAGGAGTCAAGAGAAGCAGGAGAGTGAGGTCACAGAATTTATTCACTTGGCTGGTTCCTTGTGGTCACCTCAGGCTGGCTGCATATGTCAATTAAAGGTCAAAAGTCAGCTGTCTCTTCTTCCCTTCTCTCCCCTCATCCCTTCAGGGTGAGGAGTGGTCATACTTCTATTACTAGCCTCAGATAGACCACTCTTTGTGGTTTCCTTACACCTTGCCCTGGCCTACGTAAATAATCCTTTTATTAAATCCCCTTGGAATGATCCTAATTTGTGTGCACAATCTGTTTCCTGCTGGGATTCTGACAGAATCTCTTATCTGTGAATAATGATTTTAATAACTCTCTGAATTCCATTAGTGCCTTGCTACTCAAATGTGGCCAGGGCCCAGCAGCATGCCATCACCTAGGAGCTTTTAAGAAACGCAGAATCTCAGGCCCCACCTCAGACCTACCGACTCAGGATTAGCACTTTTATAAAACCCCCTGGTGCTTCCTATGCACATTCAAGTCTAAGCAGTATGGCATTAGAGTAATCTGAGTTTTACTAAAGCTCTTTTGGTTACTAAAAAACCCAAGGACTCAGACTAGCTCAAGCAACAGGGTCTTAGACATCAGGGAGTAAAGGAGACCGACTTGCACAGAAATCTAAGAATAGGACCTAGGAGAAGGAGAAGCCTCATGGAGATGGGACCTAGAGGATCAGTGGGGATCTCAGAGACCGCAACAAGGGAGTCTGCAAGTCTTTGCTGCTCCAGCCTGGATCATTACTCTCCATGGATTTGCTTCATGTTGCATGACCAGCTGGATCCCTCACTATTTACTCTCTTATCTATTTGCCAGAGTTCTCATTCACTTATTGCTTTGCCTAACTCCTAATCTGGCTCACTTTTGCCCATCATAACCTTATTTTGTCAACCAGCTACATTTCAGTTTCTGAGAGTAAGAACATTAGTTGCCCAATTCATCCCTGTCTGGGCAGAGCTTCTTGCACCAGCTTCTCTCACAGCTCACGGCTAGCCTTTGAGTCAGCTGTCAATTCCTGATTCAGCAGGCACTGGTAATATGGTATAAAACAAGTCTGCCCTGGACTGTCTGACCAGCAGGGGCTGTGAAGAAAATCACACTATGATTACACGTCTAGTTAAAATGGTCTTAAAAGATATGAAACATGGTTTTCAAATCTTGGTTGCAGGGTCTTTCCTCTTTACCTACACCACTACCTCCCATTTCCTCTTCCCTCTCCACACTTTCCAGGAATATCTGCATCCTCTGGCAGACTCTGACAGTCATGGAGATGACTTTTTTTTTTTTTTTAAAGATTTTTTATTTATTTTTTTTTATTTTTTCCCTCCAAAGCCCCAGCAGATAGTTGTATGTCATAGCTGCACATCCTTCTAGTTGCTGTATGTGGGACTCGGCCTCAGGATGGACGGAGAAGTGGTGCCTCGATGCGCACCCGGGATCCGAACCCGGGCCACCAGCGTTGCAGCGCGCGCACTTAACCACCAAGCCACAGGGCCGGCCGTGGAGATGACTTTTTATGTTCAGGGTATTTCAAATGTTGTGTAACAAAATTAATTACATTTAATTAAACTTATCCATTTTTTATAGCCCTAAACAAATCTAAAATGCCATGTTAAGCTTATGAGATGGCAGTCCTCCAAGGGGTTCTGCTGCCGGGCATATTGGCTATCAGAGACGTAGGCAATTTTAGGGATCATTTTACATGAGTGAGTCTGATGAACGGCCTCTCAGCCTCAGTTAACCATCAAGCAAGGATTAGTCTCTGGGTCCCAGGCCAAGCAATCACCTATGTCCTCCCTCCTTCTTGTACCCAGGGACAGCTTTCTCACTCAGACAATAATCATCTTCTTTCTGCCTGCTTTCATAATGCACTAGAATTATGAATTTGCTTCTCTCTTTCCTCTACTATATGGTAGCAGGGGAGGGAACTGTTTGTATTTCTCACAAGTACAGGGTCTGGCATATGGCAGTTGCTGAATTTATTAATATTTATTGATTCAATGAATGTTCTTGCTCAGTGGTTATGTGTTTCTCTCACCTTGTGTACCAGTCAGGTTTTTCTGTGATAACTCCCTTAAGTCTCAGTGGACTGCTTGCTCCACAGGTTTGAGAGGTAACTATGGTAGCTGCACGTCTGTTTCACACCTTCTCACCTTGTACCCAGGCTGAAGCAGCATCCTCTCTTTGGTCCATGCTGGTCTCAAGGTGGAAGGCACGAGTGTAAGATGGCTGATGGACACATCAATCGTGTTAAAGCCTCTGCTTATAACCAGCACACAGTCACTTCCACCACATTTCAAGGGCTAAAGTCAGTCACAGGGCCAAGCCCAACATTAGCAGTGTGGAAAAAATATGCTTCTCAAAGGAAGGGGGGTGCTGGAGAGAATATTTGCTAAACAATAATGTAATCTACCACGCGTTGTTACTTGAGTTTTCTATCAATACTATTCTGATGTTTTAATTAGTTTTCAAAAGTAGTAAACTAAAATCCCCTAACCATGTAGTATATATTAAAGGCAGGATACATTTAGTACCAGGGACAGAATACAACTCAAAGTATTTTATGCCAAAAAGAAATTTACTGACCCATGACATAACTGGGAAGTACAAAGAGTAGATCTGGTTGAAGCCCAGAGGGCTCAAACAATGCCATCAGGGCCCTCTCTCCATCTCTTCACTCTGCTCACCTTGATGTGTTGGTCTTATTCTCCCCAGCCTCTCGGAGGTGGCCTCCATTTGCTAGAGAAAATTGCTACAAGGCACTTGCAGAAGGACTACAAGCTACTACGTGCCAAGGGGCCAGGTTTTATATCACAAAGTCTTCAGATTCAGGACTTCTACAGATTTTATAAATGATAGCTAGCAAATCTGCAAATGTAAGTTAAATGATCTCTTTAGAAGGCTAATTTAAAACTGTGAAAAATTTATTGTTTCAGGAATTGGCCAAGCATTTTAATCTTAAGAACCTTCCCTTGAGAGTGCTCTCATATTACTGGACACGTTGAAAACAGTAATTTTACAGAAAATATGTTTATTATTGATCATTTCAATTCAAAATACTCATTCTTTCTCAGGGCTGGTCCATCATATTCTGTGTCTTTAGAGATATTAAATAACCAAAATTGTGAGCAATTTTGTTTAACAGTAATAGAAACTTCTGTACGGTAAGCAAGATAGTAATTTCTAACAACGAAACAAGGTCTCCCGAACTTGCCATTAAAACAAAGGGAGCATTTAACAAGATGTAGGGACCCATGGATAAAATCTAACAGAGCCCATGCTGGAAAATGGGATCAGGAAATTTTATAATACACCCTCACTCTGAGTTTGCACTTGCATGGTTCAAGCGCATCCTGTAAAAGGGGCTTAGATATATGATAGCTTCTGTCTGGCGAATGGATCCTGTGGGCATGGGACTTATGCTATCTAAGTTCCCCAAAGCCAACTGTTTTCTTAACTTCTTGTTCACATATCATGACCAGAGGTTTCAAGAAGACAAGAGCAGGAAGTATTTAGCTTTGATTTTTGAGGAGATGTAACACCAGCTCTTCATCCTCTGCTAAAGACAGGCCCGTATCCAAAGGCTCTAAGGTTTCCCACTTGGCCTTCTTTCTATTACGACTTGTAGGTCCCACGTCTTCCACTTCACTGTTGTTTCTTTTCCTCATTCCCTGCATCTTCTTGGTATCACTGGTGGGAACAAATCCAATGATTTACTTCATAAACAAATAATTAATTTCATCATTATGAAACCAAACACTTAAAATAGGACAAAATTATTAATAATAGTTGTTAAAGTGATATTATTATTAAGAGGGAAAGAAACTATAACACCTTCAGGATATCTGTGTCATAAGGACCTTCCCATTAACGGATGGGAGGAGAGGGCCTATCATGCACCAGGAACTGTGACAGGAGTTTGCACACATTGTCTCATCCAATCCTCACAATAATTCTAGGAAACTATGGCTATATTATCCACAATTTGAGGACACTGAGAGGCCCATAGTCTGGCTCCAATCTGTGCTGGTCCTGCCACATCAAGCCATCTCTATGTAAAGTTAGGTTATCCTTTAGGTAGCAGTCTGTGGGCTAACAGATATCAGGACACCAGGCATTGATTCTAATATCTGTTGCATTAAGTTGTGATATATAGATCATGAGTAAAATGGAACCTGAAATGTTAAATTACAAACTACTTAAGACATCAAATAAATTTCACCCATTTAAAATATGTTTCTAAGACCCATAGTCTTAAGAAAACATAAACATTATCACAGTATTCTGCACACACCTGAGGCATAGACCACAAAAATAAAGCTAATTTCTGAAGGTAAAGGAAACCACTCGATACATCAAAAATAGAAGAAAAAGCAAAACATCCTCAAAGCATTTTGAGATATCATCATCATGTTCAAAGATGATCCAATTATTGGACATAAGATTAAAACAAAATAAAAAACCCATCCAGTAGCAACCATACATTAAGGGCTTACTAATGGTCTGGCACTGTGTTACATTCCTTACTCAGATTACATCATTTATCTTTGTGAAAATCCTCGGAGCATTAGCCTCACTCTACAATGAAGTTAAGAGAGGTTAAATGACTAGACCTAGACTACACATATGGGATTCAAACACACATCTGAATGACTCTAAATTCAGCCCCACAGTCAGGCTATTGAAAGCAATTTGAGTTGACTCACTTTAGTCAACATTTGGATAACAGTAACAGAAGGAATCAGCTGTGGAAAGAGCATTGCTTTGGCATCGACACATTCAGATGTTGGCCAGTCCACTAACATTTCTAAGTCTCAGTTTCCTTATCTGTAAAGATGGGGATTATACAATTTACTTAACAGAATTGCTGTAAGAATTAAATGAAATTATATAAATGCAAGAACATAGTAGTGCTCAATACACGATAGTTTCTTTTCTGCCTATAAACTACTCCCTTTCAAATAAATTCTTACATTAACATCATATAATAAACAGCAAACAAGGAAAATCATCACGGGAACATTACATTATATTCCAAGCAAATGATATATTCCAAAGGAGAACAAAGTGCTCAAGTTCCAATGGACTCTATTACTCCTTAAAACAGCTTGAATATCAAAGCAAATGTGCATATCAGCATATCCCTTTTTGACCAGCTTGAAGCAAAACTGTAAATAATTTCCCCACTCACCACCAGGAAATGCCCAGTGCTCTGACTCAGCAGCCATTCTCTCTCACCATTGGAGGAAGGACAAACTAGACAACACTATGAGGTTACTTAAAGTCACAAATAACTGCATTTTAAAAGGGTGGAGAGATGAATATGAAAGAGTTCCCTCTGATGGGAATTCAGTTAGTAGAGAAAGCAATTCTTAGCGGAAAGGGGCCTTAAAAAAAAGTATTGAGTTCTAATCTGCTTGAGTATGTCCAGTCCTGTGCCAATTCTACTGGGCTATAGTGCCATGACTTATTTGGTATAAGGTGATACTTATTTTTGCCTGCTTGTACTTCAAGTGCATCTCAGAGCAGCTCATCAGAAACAGCCTAATTAGTGGGCTTTACTAACGTACTCTTTATTAATGTGCGTCTGCACATTATACTCCCTGTAGGAGAAATAGCCGGTTCAGATAATAAAAGGAAAATGGAAAATTTATGTAGCCCAAATATTTCCACAATTAGTAGCACTGCTGCTTTGTGGACCAGTTCAAATTCTAGAAAGGTATTTTATACTACTTTCCATAGCAAATAAGTAGTAATTTGTATAACAAATTAATTATTAAATAACAATATAGATATTCTATAGGTAATTGCCCCAAAAGGGGGATAAGGTAATGAATCTAGAAAACATTTAGTAAGCAGAAAGCAAAATGTGGTCACACTGGTCTCCTCAGAAAAGGCCTCTTCCAAATGGTATGGCACCAGAGAGTGATGCCAGCAACAAGGCTGAATAAGACATTCCTTGTTCATGTTACCTTGCAACAATGTGCCATCCCTCCACAGATAAAAGTACCTTTGTGGGAGCTGTGAGATCCAGCACCATACGCCAAGGGACCCAGGAGGAGTCTAGCCCAACTGTGCATCTGGTAATAGGCACACAGACCTTGGTCCTGGCAATGGGCCATGAACCAACTTCAGCCCCACTTGGCCGTGGCAGAACACTTTCTTAGATAATCACCCATGGATGAGAGAGTCTTTGTGGAAGTCCAGGTTTCCAGTGGAGAAGTTCCAGCACACCAATGGAGCAAAAAATACGAGTTTGGATGTATTGGAGAGAGTTAAAGAGGAACAGTTTGACCTTTCTCATATTCCCCAAGGTGGCATAGCTCAGGCCAAGAGAGATGTTCCTTGCCTGTTATTTCTCCCACGGAGGAAAGTGAAAGCATGTGAGTATCCAGCTTCCCCAGCTATGTGGGACACTGCCAAAGATGCCCATTTCTCTCACTCCTCCACTCCCCAGAGTACTAAATCATGAGCTGCATGACTGGGGGTCAGGAAGAGGCTGGGAGAATGGCAGATAGAACTCTCTGAGGGAATTAAAAGGATGTGGATCCTACTCATTGCATCACAGACACCAATAAGAAGCTTTCCAATAAACCCCCGGGGATGCCTTGCCTGTGAATCCCTCCAACTGGCCCACAGGCATCTCCAGTACTCTGTGTGCCTCACCCACACCCTCTCCTCCACCTGGGTCAGCTCCCTGTGTGGGCTCCTGAGAGTAGCAGTGAGAGGGAGCTTAGGCAGACAGCTCCAAGCACATGCAGAGAGCCAACCTGAATCTGCAGGCCAGGGAGAGACCACAAACTTCAGCTTTAGTGCCACCTTTGGGAAAGCAAAAGGGAAGCTGTCAGGACTTGACCTGGTGTGTTGTAGGATTGAGAGAAGGCACACAAGCTTAAGAATTCTGCCACAAGAGGGAGCAAGAAGTGTGGAGCAGGCATATTCACAGAAGATCTAACAAAACCTTCGAGTCCATAGCAGAACTGACAGAAGATATTTCTTTCCCAAAGGCAGTTAGGAAAGACTGGAGGAGGTGACTGCTACTGCAAATGCAAAGACAGCAATGCACAACTTCAATGAACATGAAAAATCCAGGAAACATGATACCACCAAAACATCACAATAATCTTCCAGTAACCAATCCCACAGACAGAGAGATCTGCAATTTACCCAATGAAGAATTCAAAATAACTGTTTTAAGGAAACTCAGATGAAAACACAGAAAGAAAATTCAATGACATCAGGAAAACAATGAGTGAACAAAATGAGAACAAGGATCATAAAAAAGAACCACACAGAAATTCTGAGGCTGAAGAACACAATGAATGAAATGAAAAATGCAAAAGAGAGCATCAACAGCAGAATGGATCAAACAGAAGAAAGAATCTGTGAGTTACAAGGTAGGAACTTTGAAATTATCAGTCAGAGGAGAACAATAACAAGAAAAGAATGAAAAAGAGTGAAGAAAGCCTACAAGATCTATAGCATACCCTCAAAAGAACTAATTTGTGAATTATTGGAATCCCAGAAGAAGAAGAGAGGGTGAAGGGGGCAGAAAGCTTATTTAAAGAAGTAATAGCTGAGAACTTCCCAAATCTGGGGAGAGATTTATACACCGAAGTTCATGAAGCTTTAAGGTCCCCAAACAAATTCAACTTACAGAAATCTTCTCCAAGACACAATAAAACTGTCAAAAATCAATGACAAGACAGAATTTTAAAAGCAGCAAGAGAAAACAAGCTTGTAACATACAAGGGAATCCCCATAAGTCTATCAACGGATTTCTCAGCAGAAATCTTGCAGTCCAGGAGAGACTGAGATGATATATTCCAAATAGTAAAAGGGGGAAAAACCCCCTGCCCATCAAGAGTACTTTACCTGGCAAAGTTGTCCTCCAGAAATGGAGAGATAAAGAGTATCCCAGACAAACAAAAGCTGAGGTTGTTCATAACCACTAGACCTGCCTTACAAGAAATGTTGAAAGGAGTTCAAGGTGAAATGAAAGGACGCTAATTAGTAACATGAAAATATATGAAAATATCCAATACACTGGTGGAGTAAGTATACAGTCAAATTCAGAATATTCTAATACTGTAGTATGGTGACGTGTTCACCACTTAACTCTAGTACAAAGGTTAAAGGACAAGAGTATTAAAAATAATTATAGCTATATAATTGGTTAATGAATACACAATATAAAATGAGGTAAACTGTGACATCAAAAACACAAAAAGGGGATTAAAAGGGTAGAGTTTTTGTATGCAATCAAAGTTAAGTTTTTATCAGCATAAAATAGACTGTCATATCTATACGATGTTTTATGTAAGCCTCATGGTAACCACACAGCAAAAACCTACAGCAGATTCACAAAAGATAAGAGAAGGGAATCAAAGCACACCACTACAGAAAATCATCGATTCACAAAAGAAGGCAGCAAGAGAGGAAGAAAGGAGCAAGGGAACTATAAAACAGCCAAAAAACAATAAGATGGCATTAGTAAGTCCTTATCTACAAATAATTAAATTAAATGGATTAAATTCTCCAATCAAAAAGTATAGAGTATCCGGATGGATAAAAATAACAAGACCTAACTATATACTGCCTATAAGAGATTCATTTCAGTTTTAAGGACACACAAAGGCTCAAAATGAAGGATGGAAAAAGATATTCCATGCAAGTGGAAATCAAAAGAG